TGAAATCTGGAAGACCTCCAAGAGATAATTGTTGTTCTTTTGTTTGCGCCAGCTCTGTTGCAAATCCACCAGTGGAGAACTTGGGCCGGGAGTCAAAATGCATTGACAATCAGTTAGCAACTCTGATGGATTTCTATTTCATATAGAGAGAGTTGAATATTGTGTATGATCAAATCTATCGAGATTCAAGTGGTTATAGATGTTATAATTACTCGTAATGCTTCTGCTAAGACAGGGTAGGCTATTTTTTTCATCCGAAAATAGACAAATACAGCATTACTTTGCTATTTGAATATCTGAAATAGTAACGCGTTTAAAAATGAACATGACCAATTCCGAGCATGAGGTTGGTGTTCGGACTCCTCCACCCTTGCTCAGCATTGATAATCTGTTCTTGAGAAAATGGTGATGGGGGCTTGAAGCTCTTATGACAATTAAGTGAAAAAGGAGTATACATTCTTGTATGTCCATTGGAGGATATGTGGGATATATTTCTACTAGTGATAGATAACTGATAATGTTCTTTCATGGTACCGAGCAATCAATGTCCCAATTTAGGTAATTACTTAATTCTGAGGAATACATGGATGATGGATCAATGTCAATGTTGTAGGTACTTTTTTAAACATCATTTACAAGTGTTCAGTAAAAGTTTTAACATTTTAATCATGAATCATGTTACACTTACCAAATTTTTTATCAAATCTTTTACACCCCACTCACATTAGGGGGTGGGGACCACATGCCGGCATTTTTTAAAACACATGGGACCCGCGTTTTTGTGAGGGGGTTACATGCGTGTCACTTGGACATTTAACGACTAAACGTACAATTTTGTCGAGTGGGGATACCGTTTGCACACACAGTGTTAAAAGACTGAAGACATGTATGCTACAAATGAAAGGTATGAAACATGATTGCCACACTTGCGAAAGGTTAGGGACCCTTGAATTTATTTCTCTTGTTGGGCTTACAGAATGGGAAATTATAATAATTCAGGTG